TAAAAGTGTAATAAAAACATAAAATAGTAGCATAAAAAATTATCAAAAACATTATAATGAAACAAAAAAAATAGAGGAGATGAAAGATTAGAGAAGATGAAAAAGAAAGAAAAGAAGAGATGATAGGTTAGAGAATAAGAGGTGCATTAAAAACATAATTGGAAGAGAGAACGGTAGAATAAAAATAAGAATATGAAAAAGAAAGAACATAAGAGATGAGAGATTAGAGAAGAAGAATCAAGATGTACATGAAAAAGAAGATGAGAAGAAAGTGCGATACCGCTAGGAGAGATTTAAGAAGACTTAAACTGAAACTTTTATTGTGAGGAAGAGAAAATCATTCGTAATCGTAAGGCTAATGCATAATAGATTTGACTTTATGTTGGATATGAGTTAAATAAAATTCGGGTTGTAACATAATACAGTTTTGTTAGGTTTGTAAAATACAAACCCCAAACCGAACCAAACCATACAATTTTGTTTTTAAAAAACTATGGTATAAGCATGCATTTATTTTTATCCTAAATGTGATGTACTCATGAATAATATTGATAATTCTATTAATGCTGCCATTTTAGTGGCTAGGGATAAACCTATTCTAACCATGTGTGAATGGATTAGAAAATTCTTGATGAATAGGTGCAGTACCTCTGCCACGAAACTGGAAAAATAGCCATACAAGGTTATTCCAATTCCTAGAAAGAGATTAGATACTGAGGTGTTCATGAGTGGTCATTGGTTGACAACTTAGGCTATGGAAGAGAAGTTTAAGGTCACTCATTATTATAACAAACAAGAATTTATAGTTGTCATTTCCAAAAGATCGTGCACATGTAATTTATGGGAGTTAGTTGGTATTCCTTGTAGGCACATTGTTGCAGCATTAGGATTTAGGTAACAGAATCCAGAACAGTTTGTTGATGAATGTTATTCAAGGGGAAAATATTCCATTTGCTATCGGTTTGCTGTGAGCCCCATTAATGGGCAAGAAATGTGGCCTGAGGTAGAAAGTGAAGAGCTATTACCTCCTAAGTTTAAAAAAGGTCCTGGTAGACCAAGAAAATTAAGGATCATGGAGTGTGGTGAAGAAGGTGCTAGAAGAATATTTTCGATGTATCTTATAGGTGTACTAGGTGTCATAAAATTGGATACAATGTTCAGTCATGCAAAAACAAGGAACAAGATCCAAATTCCTTGAGAATAAAGTTAGAGTTGTTTGTTTGTACTTAGTGTATTTTTGTTTCTTTATTTTATGTGTATTATTTGGACTGAGACTATATGTCATTTGGAATGTATTTTTCAGAAGAAAAAAAATGAAGACTGATGCAGGCACCAGTGCAACCACAGATGTTGGACAAACTGATGTTGTGAAAATTTATAATGTGCAAATTGATGTTGTGCAAACCGATGTTGTGCAAACTGATATTGTGCAAACTGGTGTTGTGCAAAGTGATGCATTACAATCTGATCATATACAATCTGATACAGCACAAACAGATGATGCACAAGCAGGAGTGTTTGGGGATATTTCTGATGAGATGATGTCAACCTTGCCTGACATCAACACATTAAATCCAACAACTACCAGGAGCTCACCAAGTACCAAATGGAAAGGCAAGGCTAAAGTCAAAAAACAATTCAAACCAAAGAGAAAGAGATCAAGCAAGCGAATTAAACTGAAATGGTTTCAAAAACCAATAATAAGTCTTGGTTCAAACCCATACCAACCTATGTATTTAACTGAAGAAGATGGTATTCTTATCCAAGAAGGAAATGAAACTCAACATGCAAAGAAGCCTACAAGGAAGACTACATAGAATACTACAAAGAAGACTATAAAGAACTAACTAATGCACACTTTTGGTGTAAACTTGTAATGACTTTAATGCACTTTATTAGAACCATTTTGTAATGACTGAAGCACACTTTTGGTGCAAACTTGTAATGACTAATGCACTTTATTAGTGCCATTTTGTAAGAACTAATGCACATTTTTGATGCAATATTGTAATGACTTTAATGCATATTTTAGGTGAAATCTTTTAATCAACTTATGAACTAGACATATCAAAATTGTATATCACAAACATTGATTGACAGAAAATTCAAACATTTCATTAATACAAAGCATTTTACATATAGTTTCATAATCACCAACATCCCACAAAAAAATCATAGTTATTCTCATGAAAATAAATCAAACCAATCTAAAAATTACATAAACTTGAACAACATTGCAATAATAAACCAAGATATCCCAAGTGCCATCTTAAACTTCAAAATAATCTTCCTCTGAACTTCAACCTTCATCTTTGCCTTTTCTAACTTCTTCAATGTCGTTTCCAATTTCACATCTCCTAATGCACACTTTTGGCAACATGGTTGACTCTTGCAATTCACCTTCAAAGACTCTTCAATTTCATGATCCCACAAAAAAAGATCACAACTATTCTCATTCTACAAACACAAACAACATTTACACATTTGTTAACAACTTATACATCTTTGTTAACAACATATACGAAAACAACTTTCTTACCCCTGCATTTCGACATTTCCAGAACTTTTTATTGCGGTTTTGAACTGTGTTGGAGACCCACATCTTCATTGCACAATCGCATCCACTCCTGGGTAACCCTAAAAATTCAACATAAGGTGTGCAGTTGCTTGAAAATGAATTGCTTCCAACCATGTCGTACCAACTGGAATTTCGTACCAATAGGAAAGTTAAATTGCAAGAACTGAGATGAACAGTGTCGAAGAGAAGGATGGAAGATAAAAACCCTCTTTTGAGGTTGAAGATGAATGCATGCCTACAACAAACCCTATTTTATGGGATTTTTTTGAAATATCGGATTATGTGGTATTAAATTATCCAGTAAGCATTCATTAAATGCCACATTGAAAGATTCGGCGACACATAGTAAATCAAGGATCTTTAAAAATGGAATATGGATTTGGTAAAGGGGAATCACAAAAAATATACTTCAAGAGGTAAAAGCAAAACTCGCTATATTGGTAGAGGGTGACGTATATTAAACCCTAAATATTTTTATAAACTACTTTTATAAATGAGAAAAAGTATATTGTTGATACAAATATTTTTATAAATGAGAACAAATTTATTACTCGTATTAATATTTTGGCTTAAATGTACTTTTGGTCTCCCTATTTTCACATTTTTTAAGTTTTAGTTCCTCCATTTTAAAAACTATTTTTTTGTCCCTAAACTTTACTTCACACGGGATTTCATTGGTCCCCCCTCTATTTTTGCATATGTGGCGTCCTTATTAATGACATGACACTATTACAGTAACTTCACGTTAGATGAACACACATTGTAGGAAGTTATTGTAGCAGTGTTATGTCATTAATAAGGGCATCACGTATGTAAAACTATAGGAGAACCAATAAAATCGAGTGAGTTAAAATTTAGGGACCAAATGTTGACTTTTAAAATAGACTAAAATTTAAAAAACTTGAAAATAAAGGAACCAAAAGTGCATTTAAGCCTAATATTTTTAAAGTTAAATAAACTTTACCCCCTGTCATATTAACGTGTTTTGATTTATTCCCCTTTCTAAATAAAAAATCGTGATCTCCCCCTATAAAATACATATCAGACACTCCTATTACACTATTTAATTGACTGGGCAGTGGAATCTTCCTAAGTGGCGCTCATGTGAACTTTGTTTTTATTTTTTATTTATATTTAAACCACGTTGATTTTTCAATTTTATTTTTTATTTTTTTAATTATTTGTATAAAATCTTTACATTGTTAAAAAATATGCATCATGTGGATTTCAAACTCTGCACCCTCTACTTACAAACCCTGCACCCAACAACTGCATTAATTATTTCAGTTTGTAGATTACTCGCTTTGAATGCTACTTTAATATATTTATCATAATAATTCATTTTTATTTTATTAGTTATTTAATAAAAACAAATAACAAAGTTTTAAAAAAAAATAATAATATTTTGTGTTTTATTCTCTAAAAGAATAATAATATTTTGTTTATAAAAATGATAATAATACTATGTTTTTAAAATAATAATATTATTCTATTTTATAATATTCAGTTTTTAAAATTTTATTATTCTATTTCTAAAAATATGTTTTTATTCTGTTATTAAAAATATTTAAATATTTATTAAAAATATATATTTTGAAGTTACAGTTATAAATATGTAATTATATATATAAACAAATTATATTTATAATTTTTTATCATTTATAATAATTATATATTTGTTATGCATTTGTTATATAATTATTTGAAATGACGATATAAATATTTGATATACATTTCAAATATATTTGTTAGTTAATTATATATTTCCGATATATTATACATTTTAAATATTTGTTATATATCATTTAAAATTATTATACGGTTTTTATATAATTATTCATTTAAAATAATATAATATACAATTTTAATATCATACATATATAATTAAATATTGTTAATAAAAATATTATACGATTATTCAGTTAAAATACTGTTATACAATTAAAGTAGCATTCAAAGTGAATAATATACAAAATAAAGCAATTAGTGTAGTAGTTGAATGCAAGACTTCCAAGTAGAGGATGCAAGGTTCAAAACCCATATGATGCATATTAAAAAAATTATATTTTAATACAAATATTTTTATAATTGAAAAAATAAAAAAAGTTCGTACTAGACCAGAACCTGTACCCGTTCATTGGCACAGGATTTTTACTAGTTTTCATGTAAAACCACTACATTGAGGCTTGCTAATAACGCCCACAAGACACAATCCAGAAAAATGACCTAAACAATCATCTTCCGGAAACTAGGGCACAACAATGTATACACGAACATCTTGAAAATAATTTCCAGGAACATTTTTCTAAGACGAGCCAAACAGTTCTTAATGAAAACAATTTCCCAGAAAATAGTAATCCCAAAAGCAATTTGTACATCACCGGACAAGTACTTGTTTGATACTAGGAAGAGTAGCTGTGATTCACTTCAAACGTCTGATGTTCTTTGTAGCATTGATAATCTTCTGACCAATCTCAGGGTGATTGAACTTTAACAATTTCTCGAGTTTGAGAGATGCTTCGGAAAAACCGTCATCCTCAATACATGACTCTGATTTTAGAGCAAAATGAATTTCATTTACATCCTCATCAAACTGGAGGCAAAAGATGTGGCTGAAGACCTATGTCAAGAAAACAGAAATTAAACAATAATTATATTACTGCATACTAATTAATCTCTAAATACAGTAATCATCACCATCACCATGCTATTAGTGGACAAGCCATGGTGTAACAAATTTGAACACAATCAGCCGATCAAAGTTAAATACCAAATAGTTTCGTGTTGGATAGCAACATCCAGGGGGTAACATTCTCAACAAACAAGAACAATAAAATGGTAATACTATAATGAATCAAAGGATGGATCAATAGTTATCATACTAATAACTACTTGTTTGTACCTTTTCCATTTTCTCGAGAGCCGTGTCCTTGATGGCTTGGGACCGCGACACCAAATTGACAACAAAGAGACCTTGGTCTGAAAGTTTATCCTTTGCAGTATCAAGAAAAAATTCATCCAAAAATTCTGGGGCGGGGCATGCCAGTCCAGAGCTGTCCAGAATATGTAATGGTTAAGTAGCATTCTTTAAATCATACAATACACTTTTGTAGCCTAATGTAATAACTAAATGCATAGGTCAATTCACCTTGAGTCTGAAGAGTCAGCATCAACAATAATTATATCAACTTTTGTATCTTCTACATCTTCTGCATGAGAAGTAGTTGAACTACCATTTGTAGGAGACTCGGTATAGCTAGAATTATTACTTTTACTACGAGACTGAGCAGCTCCAGAACTAGTACTCTCTCGAATAAATTGAATCCCATCAGCTATATGCACCTGGATCCCCAATACAATTGGATTTAGTAGAGAATATTATGAAATCCCCATCACAAAACTGATTCATCAAAATCATAAATTATATTGTGGTTGTCTTAACAATATTCTGGAAACTGGTCTGGTGGTCCAGTCCCAAATAAAAACTGAAAATATCTGTTTGCAACTGTCAACATTATTTAGTTTGTATCAGAATTGATGTTTCCTCTAAATCTCAGTTTTACTTCAAGTGGTCAAAAGTATATTTACAAAGTTTTCCGAAAACTTGCTTAGAGTAAAAAGTTCAAATATAAATCACTTCACTTTAGAGTCAATTTTAATAAAAGGTATTTAACAAAATCAATTTTAATCAAAATCATGTATAGGGAAAATGCTTTCCCAAACATACACGGCGTTTCATTAAAGCTGAGAAGAGAAGGTCATAGAAGAATATTAACTACCTTTAACCGTTTATCCTCAACAAAACTGAAGTATTCCCTTGCAATATGAGCAACTACAGGGTCTAACTCTACTGCCTGTGGATATTTATAACTAATATCAAGCCCAGTGATATCATATAAAATCATTCTACAAATAACCATTTAGAATTGGGTCAGGACAAAAATTGTATTGTCCCTAGCCTCTCATAACTGGAATAGTATTTATATTACCTCAATTTCCAAAACAGGGATACAGCTGTGAAGAAACATAGGAAGTAAACCTGCTCCAAGACCTATGATTACAGCTTTTACCTGAAATATGGCACTGGCATGAATCAGAATACATTATAGCAAACCCATGTTTCAGAGCATGTGAAGGTCAGAAATGAGTTAATTTTTCCTGTAAATTCTATTTTCTATTAAAATTCAACACCAAAAACCATACATGTTTAACTTTTTAGAAAAAGAAAAATTATTAAAAAGAGAAAATAAAAAAGAAATTCTTGTTAAATTGCTTTTACTAAAATTGTGAACATAGCTACACCTGTTGAGTATAACTTTGAGTGTGTTATTAATATTATTTGAGTGGTACAATCTTTGATGACACAGTGAATGCTACACTGGATCAGGAAAAAGTATTTACAGTATGTGAAGTTACAACAGTATGAACAGAAGGTAAATTGGACTGTGTTGGGATTGGAGGAAACTGCAGATGTGAGAATTTGAAAAGCCTATCATTGTATACAAATCATCGAAAAGGAATTTCATGGAAAACTTAAGAGTTGACAAAACACAAGTCAGGATGGAACTCAATAGACATTGTAGTTCTCGGCAAATTTACTTACGCTTATTTACTATATTTTGATTATGTGAGGGGTGTATTGAGAGTTCTGAAAGGCAAGATTAGGTTTCTAAAGAAAGGAAAACAAGGAGGAAGTGAATGATGAAGTATAAAGGTCTTTCCTTTCCTATTACCAACTACAATTTGGTCTGTTCCTTCATATGGAGCAGGTTGCAGAATATTCTAGACAAGAAAAAGGAATTTGTGGCATACAAAATTTAGTTTATAAGCATTCAATCACTAGTCGGTAAGTGAGTACTCATAAACTGCTTTTGGAACAACCTTGGCGGCTTGACCATACAAGAGATAACTTTTGTAATTTTCCCAAATAAAAGTTAGAAATACTTTCCATTTTCCCACTTGATGCAACATTTTCCATGTAAGAGGATATTAACGTGAATCCTGAAACAATCCCTGAATGATAAGAACTGGCAACATAGCCGTGATAGACAGTCAACTGGTTATATGCTCCTGCAACATCAACAGAAAACATTAAAATAGCAAGAGTCTGAAGTTATAAAGGCAGTATGCAAAATGTTACGAGGGTTTAATTTAAAGAATTGCAAGAATGTATTCTTGTCTAGTAGTGGGTCAACAAGCCAAATGCTATTTATGAGGAATCATGGGGTATTTGGTGTTACAGTTGGTTACATATATAACTCCGTGTTTTTCATCTTTCCAATTGTTCGTACTAAACAGCATTTTTCTTAGATATTTAGAGGGTGAAAATATCATGAGATCCACATTCCACTTAATCTTATACAATATATTAACTATAAGGAATTGGCAAGTTGAAAAATGAATATTAAATTGTGAGGTCAACTAATACCATCATTCTGTCTTTCAGACCCACATTTCTTAGATGAGGATGAGTTGGCTTTCTTCTTTACTGTCTCACCAACCAATTTTGTAGAATGTTCATCTTTTAGCAAAGCTTCAGACTGAACCAAATTTGCAGCTCTTTCGAATACGAGGCGTCGAAACATCAACTCTTGAGAAGGAAAGATACAACTGACTTCACTATCAACATTTTCATAAACTACATCTTCAACAACAATTGATCCAGTTAATGGAGATGTGGTCTGCAAAACACAGATAATTGAGGATGATATAATGAGAATATGATAATTTAAAATAAAGCAGGTGAATCACTTGAATGAGAATCCATAATATGAGGATCCAGTTAATGAAGATGTTTACACTTCACACATGATCATTTAGCCATTCTATTGACATCTTTCCTTACTCTTATACCTTGCCACGGGAAGTACTTTAGGATTACTTGGTTCTACATTTTCCATGCATTTGGAACATTTCTTTGCCACAAAATTAAAATAGCATAAAACTGCTTATTTAGTGTGAAGTGCTGAGTGCTGAGTGCAGAGTGCAGAGTGCATGTACATGTATCTCACTAACATGTATATTAACAGACACGGCAGCTTTATGCATCAAATTTATCTTCCTTGTTGCCTTCTGTTTTATTCTTTGGTTTAGGAGGGTTCTTTACCCTACTTTCTCTTTCTAACATTTTCTCTACATATTCTCGCAAGAGTTGTTCTTATATCAAAACAAAAATGAGTAAAATCTAAGAAAAGGAAAAACACACAGCAATAACTATCTAGAAACCAAGTAATGTAGAAGTAGGTTACTTTTATACACGTGAATCAGATTGTTAAACAGTATTCTTGTTTCCCATGCAGTACATTTAAATTGCAATTAAGGAGTCGCACTTCAACAAAATAACAACAGAGAAATAGCTTTTTGTTTATTGTTTTTAACCTGGTGAACAATGTTTCGCTTCTTGATCCCATCACTTGCCATCAAGAAACTGCACACATTCGAGAATTTATTTATGAGAAAAACCACAACTCGTGAGTGTAAGCATGACAACAACACCTGGAAAAATGGCTTAGAATATAGTAATAACTGTTGACACATTTTACTATTTTAGCATAAATAGATTTAACAGAGCAATGACTACTTCGATTAAAATTGTTCAAAATGGAGGAAAGCTTGTACAAGATACGAACGGTATTTGAGCTCCACTCTCATTTTCAGTAGGTTCCAATTCTTTAACCAGTGGAGACAAGTCCTTCTGAAAAGAGTTAACAAATGCAATTCAGCAATGGTTAATCTGTTAGAATGGCGTGTCCGTGGAAGCATAACCTAAGATGAGGTTTCTACCTTAATCTCATCCATGGTGGCATTAGTATGGCTGGTGTCCAAGAAAACCTAAAATTGAGATTTGCTCAAGAACTTCAATTATAAAAGTAACAAACAAAATAAACTAAAAAGTAACAGGAAATATCATTTCATCAAGTTAATGACATAGTACCATTATGAGACGAGCTGCTTTAGAGCTTCTGACCACCATCCATTGTCCTTCTTCAGAAAAGAAAAGCCATTCAGGAGCACGGATCTGGGATTTAGAATTCAGACGTGAAACTCAATAATAATAAATATTGCTGCTAGTCTTAATTCAAAAACATATATAATAAGACAAAAGAGAAACAAATGAAGGAAGAAAACAAGAAATGCTAGAAAGTCCTTCCACCCGCCAATCAATGAACCAGTATCCCTATGGCCTACATTGTTTACAATAGCATTAATGTGATCCTAGATGCAAGTATAACTACACAACCAAGCCCCGTCCAATCAGGTGGGGTTTGTTATGCTGCAAAGACACACCTTAGGCACAATGAAAACCCCACAGTGATATGTAAATGGGTCAGACTGTTCCTCAGCATCAAGAACTACGGCTCTATAAGAGAAAACAGAGCATCCTTGGCCACCTAATGTCAGCTGCAACCGCCGACCTTGGGAAATTTTTGTCAATTCCTCTTGAACATCTTCCACGGAGTATAATTTGTTAGAACAGCTGGATAATTTTTCACGAACTTGGTTCTCATTTTGAAGAGACTCACGAAGTCCCAAAGCCTAAAACAAATGAAATAAAAAACATAAACACTAGATAGTAAAAGCCTATATTATAAATATTAATAAAATAGAATATATCTACAAAACATCTCATACAATCTAAAGACTATCTTTAGAATTTTATGCATGTACAATAGAATTAGTTAGTCCACTAATTGACAGGCAACCTGAAGAGTTATCCCTAATTTTATTATGGTTTCTAATCTGTTTCCCTTTCTTAATTTGATTAGGGTGGCGAGTTTTATTGTATTAGTGGGCTTGGGCTTGTATTAGTGGAAGCGTAGTACTATTACTACCCATTGCTTAACCCAGTTTTATGTATAAGTATACAATATTGATGGTTAATAATACTATACATATATCTAATTGATCCGATCTCAAATTATTCAGAGCACATCTCCATGTTCCTCCTACCCTGTCTATATCCTACAAAATTAAACAATATAATAATTGTTCTCTACACACACACACACACATATTACTCTCTTTGCTGCTTCAAAAAAACATAATTGGACCAGGTATTCTACCTGTTTTGAATTACAATGAAGTGAAGTATTATGAAGTAACGATGTAATCTGGTGTACTGTAGTCGACAGCTCCTTCTCCACAACCACCATAAATGTTTGAAGGTTAGGTTTGCTAGAAGGGTTCGAAGGTATGGCATCAACACTCATTTTCCACCCAAGTCGAAACTTGGAGAATAGTATATCTGAAAAGTGTGAATTAATCATCTTCATCCTCTACTAAAGCCATGCAAAACCAAGCAGAACATTTTCAACAGTCCACACAACATATACTCTTGACTGATTTAAAGTCAAACAGAATAGACGAATAAACTAACCGAGAACATGAGATTCGGCCAAGGTAAGGCACAGAAACTTTCCCCCAGGCTTTAAAAGTCTCTTTACCTAAAACATAACAATATCACAAATAGAAAACATTAAAATTGAAGTTCAACCAGAAATTAATGTATGTATTATTCTGTAGATAAATAGATAAAAATAAACCTCAGAGAGATACTGATTTCCCAAAGTAGGACCAAGGTCTGGCTCCATCAATGCATCCAATCCACCTTTATCAATGATAGCAGCGAAAGACTCGTCTTCAAACTGCATGGCAGTCATGTCCATGACACGCCATCGCATGAGAGGGCGGGAACGTATGTTGCTGCGGAGCATATTGGAGATGACGACTTTGGAGAAATCAACATTAGTGATGGAAGTGTAGCCGGCGTCGTAGAGGTGTTCGGAGAGGCGAGAGTTGCCGCAGCCGGGGACGAGGAGAGGAAGAGAGGAGGGAGGAGTTAGGGTTTGGAGGAGGGAGATGAGTGGGTCCCTTAGGTGAGACCATTCGGCGTACCATTCGAAAGAGTCGGGGCGGATAGTGAAGAAATTGTCCCAATTGTCTTTGCTGGTGAAGTCGCCGAGGGTTTCTAGAAGATCCGTCTTCTTCGTTTTGCTCTTTGGTCCCATCTTGTTGCTGCTCGTAGACACTGTCTGTTGCTACTCGCTCAGCTTCGTGGGGTGGGGAGTGAGGAGGTTGCCAGATTCAACAAAGTTTGTGTAATGTTTCATTAATCACTTGTAATAATAGGAGGTTGATTATTCTAAAAAAATATTTTTTTCAATTATAAAAAACCAAATTTATAATTGTGATTTCAAACAAAATCGAAATTATAAAAAATCGTATTTGGTTCAGATGTGTTTAAGATTTTTTTTAATAAAATTGTATGATTTGGTTTGTGATTTGTATTTTACAAACCTAATAAAATTGTATTATGTTACAATTCGAATTTTATTTAACTCACATCCAACACAAACTTAAATTTATTACGCATTAGTTTTACGATTAAGAATGATTTTCTTTTTCTCATAGTAAAAGTTTCAGTTTAAGTCTTCGCAAACCTCTTCTAGCAGTATCGCACATTCTTTTCATCTTCTTTATGTACATCTCGATTCAAATCACATTTGTTTGTTTTGGTTTGGTTCGGTTTTATTTCTAAAAGTCAATCAAATCACACATTTTTTTCCTTACGATTCAAATGACTTTTCACGTCAGAATCGTTCAAACTACAATACAAACACTTCTAATTATAATAATTGTAAAATTTAAAAAGAGTATAGATCTAAAAGATTTTTAAAAATTTATTGTTCAAGTCGTTTTTTAATTTTTGGGTTTGAGATTTAAATTTTTTTAAATTAGTTTTATTTTTTAATTATGAAAATTTTAAAACTTAAAATAAGACTTAAATTATAAAAATTTAATTCAAATCGTTATACCATTAAATTTGCAAAATAATTAAAATATTATAAATAAATACTATATTTATTTAGTATTAATTTTAATAATAGTGGTATAATGGTGGTTGTCGGTTGATGTGCGACATAGTAGTAATTAGTGGTGGTTAAAGTGATGGTGATGATTAATGGTGGTTTACAGTGGTCGGTGTGGTTATAGTCGTATTCGATGCTGGTGATTGGTGATCTAAAATGGATGAAGTGGTGGTCGAAATCAATATTTTAGAACAAAATATAGGGGGAGACTCACAGTGCTCACTGAGGAGGAGAAGGAGGGTGTGGGAAGTGCAACATTAGGCGTTGCATCATAGCATGCATCTCATTAATAGCATTCTCTTGACAGGTTTGCTCTTCTCCCTGTCTGGTCTGTTTCGTACAAAGATCTCCTAGCTCCGCTTGCACCCACGCCCACTGATCATGAGAAATGGAAGAGGACTCATAACTCTGTTGGGTCGAACCTTGGTGGGTAGGTACAAACTGCTCCTGAGCCGGAACATCTTTCTCCATATCATTACCTACAACAAAATCATCAACTTGGTCGCCATTCCCTTCTTATAGGACAACAACAACATATAACCAGTTAGCATAATCAACAATACTAATTTTATCAAGGTTAGGCAACTTCAGAAGACATCTCTTACGACTCATCAGAGCATAACAATCTCGCCTAACCTCAATCATGTTTTGCTGGATAAGAGCATTTAAGTCAATTTTGCTCAAAGCAGCAACCGGTGCTTCTTCAGCCAATACTGCACCACATCCACAATAGTCGGCAATTTGCATTATCATACCGCCAACCGAAATGTCACTAGAGGTGGCTCGCCCAACATTCCCCAAGTGATGACCCGCAAAAGTAACAACATTCACTGGTGAATCATGGACCATGGAAAATAAAAAGAATAGTTCTCTCTTGGCGGCCACTCTGGTACTATCACCTCGCCCAAATAAGGTGTAAGTTAACCTTTCTGGGTGTATCTGAAACACGGGTTTTGTATCCGCGATGCCTTCACACCTTTAGGAATGTACCCGGGAAGACCAGTAATGGCCGTCCAAAAATCACTTGTAGAAGAAGTATCAGGCACAGCTCCATGTCCTACCCGTGGGAGATGGAGACATTGTGCTAAATCCTCAACAGACATTTCATAATTAACATTATAAAGGCGGAACTTCATATTACCATAATACTCTCTTACGGTACTTTCCCGTCGTCTTTCCAGTTTAAACTCAAGAGTGCTCAAAAATTCTAAATTAATACGCTCATAGGTCGGCGTCTCGTAGTGCATGAACTCTAGCATCCCTAAATTGTGAAACATCCTATCAATCTCATCCTGCAACCCTAATTCTTCAAGAGTTTTAGTGCACATATACATTGTCAGTGTCAGCTTTTGATGCACAACATACCTCATAGCATGTTCTGGTTCTTCAAACATGATATCGTATGCATTGGGTGCACGAATGGTCCTCCTATTTGCCCTTGATGGCTCTACAACTGCCTTTCCTCAATCGATCATTTTTTGGGGCATTTTGGGAACCTGAAAAAGAAGAGAAATTTGAAATCGATAAATTAGTGAAAAGCTACCGGTATGTGGTAGAGTAGGTAATTTGGAGAAGATTTTGTGAAGGTGGATAGGGGGTTTTGAAGCTTTTTTAATGGTGAAAATTGAAGCTTTTTGTGGTGGAGGCTATGGAGAAAATAGGATTTGGTGTAGAAGAGAGAGTGAGAATCGAAAATAATGGGTGGAAAATGAGGAGAAGTGTTATAAAACCAGGCGGGGTCCATAAAAAAAATAAAAAATAAAAAATAAATTCAAAGTTTGTAAGCCCAACACGACCCATATCTGGTGACACAATCGACCATGTCGCACGCTTGTGTTTCCAAAATTTTGTTTTTCACGAAATTGCTTTAGTAAGAATGACACAGGTCGTGTCTGGTGACATGACCTACCGTGTTGCATGTCTGAGTGTTCCCATTTTTTCACTTGTACACATTTCCTTTAGTGAGACTGACGCGGGCCGTGTCCAGTGACACGACCGACCATGTTCCGCTTGTGATTTTTGTGAAAAAAATTTCTCTTTTGCAGAATTTTCCCCTCTCTCTCGGTAAACTCCTTTTTAACGCTCTTGGTTCCTTTGCATGACACTGTGATTAGCTACACAAATACAACAAAAATATAACAAAACAAAGACAAAAGTTATAATTAAAACGCGTGGGTTGCCTCCCACGAAGCGCTTCGTTTAACATCGCATGGCTCGACAGTCGTCTATCTTACCATGTAAGACGAACATTATTAAACAACCCACCTGCTTGCCCAGTGTAATAAAGCTTCCATCTTTGTCCATTCACTTTAAATGTATCCCCATTAGCTTTATTTTTCAATTTTATTTCTCCATGGGGAAACACTCTGTGAACCACAAACGGCCCGGACCATCTGGATTTTAACTTTCTAGGAAACATCTTCAACCTGGAATTGAACAAAAACACCATTTGTCCTTCCCAAAATTCCTTCCTTAGGATCTTCTGTTCATGCCAATTTTTTGTTTTTTCTTTATATATCCTAGAATTCTTATAAGCTCGATTCCTAAACTCTTCTAACTCATGAAGTTGAAGAGTTTAGGATTCGCTAGCTTTCAAAAGATCACAATTCAGGAACTTGGCAGCCCAAAAGGCTTTATGCTCGAGTTCGAGCGGTAAATGACATGCTTTACCGTAAACCAGTTGATAGGAAGACATGCCTATAGGGGTTTTGAATGCAGTTATGTACGCCCATAGTGCATCCTCCAGCTTTATAGCCCAATCTTTCCGAGAAGCGCTAACCGTTTTTTCAAGTATCTGCTTTATCTTCCTGTTAGAAACTTCATCCTATCCACTTGTATGAGGTGATACGGGGTGGCAATCTTGTGCTTCACGTCATACTTCTTTAATAGATTCTACATCATCATTTAAGAAGTGAGTACCCTCATCACTGATTAGATCCATCGGTACCCCAGACCTAGAGAAAATGTTGTTTCTGAGGAAATTGACCACCACTTTAGAATCATTTGTGCGTAGTGCGACAACTTCCACCCACTTTGACACATAGTCGACCGCGACCAAAATGTAATTCTTTCCAAAAGAGGGTGGAAACAGTCCCATGAAGTCTATTCCCCACACGTCAAATAATTCTACCTCTAACATGGCATTCTGAGGCATCTGGTTCCTTTTTGAAATGTTACTCGTCCTATGACATCAATCATATTCCTTCACAATGCTCTAAGCATCTTTAAATAGAGTTGGCCAGTATAACCCAGACTAAAAGACTTTTGCAGTTGTTTTATATCCACTAAAATATCCTCCATATTCTGAGTAATGACAAGCTCTTAGTACATCTCTCTATTCTTCCTCTGGGACACACCTTCGAACCAATTCGTCTATTCCCTTTTTATACAGGAATGGTTCGTCCCACAAATAACACCTGCAATCATACAAAAAAAATTATTTTTGTTAGAGTTAAAATCATCAGGTATTATTCCACCTACCAAATAATTTGCATAGTTAGCGAACCACTGAGCACTAATCATAGCTAGGATTTGTTTGTCAACAAACTCATCATTGATTGGTTGTTTCTCCTCTGTTTCTTTTATCGAAGACATCCGGGATAAGTGATCAACAACAATGTTTTCACATCCCTTTTTGTCCCGGATATCTAGATTAAACTCTTGTAGGAGTAAGATCCACCTCAGCGGCCTTGGTTTTGATTCCTGTTTAGAAAAAAGATATTTCAAAGCAGCATGGTTAGTATAAACAATTACCTTTGACCCCAACAAGTAGGACCTGAATTTGTCAAAAGCATACACCACTGCTAACAATTCCTTTTTAGTGGTTGCATAGTTCATCTGAGCTGGATTCAACACATGGCTTGCATAATAGATCACATGTAAGAGCTTTTCTCTTCTATGTCCTAGCACTGCCCTTACTTCTATATCACTTGCATCACACATGATCTCAAATGGTAGAGATCAATCATGAGAAATTACTATAGGGGCATACACCAACTTATTCTTCAAAGTTTTAAAGGCCTCACCATACTTTTTATCGAAAAGAAACAGTGTATCCTTCACAAGCGAACTAGTCAGAGGCTTCACAATCTTGGAGAAATTTCTTATGAACCTATGGTAGAATCTTGCATGTCCTAAGA